ATACATGACTGAAGAGAATTCAGAAATTAACGGCTTGTTAACCCTTAAAACTCTCCAAACGTAAATCTACGTTTTCGTGCATAGCGCTCCGACCTTGATTTTCTCCATAGGAAAGCATGTAAAAAACGTAGATCTACGTTTGGAGCGCTATGCGAGTGAACGTAGAACTACGTTTGGACAGTTTAAGGGTTAAAAGATAGCACAGATTATTTTAAACAAATGAGCTATAAAATTATACTGCTTTTGAACTGAATTAACATAATGTTGTAAGATACAAGATGTGTTTTTTTTTTATACAGACATGGATTGTGTTATGTAAGGTGGGTCCCAAAGTTCTAATGAAATTACAGTACAAATGATGAAATCAGCAAATGTTGGTAAATGATGTACACTAATCAATTTTTACATAAATAAACAAAAATAATAGACAAAATTTCTTGATTTTAAAAGTCTGGAGAACTTGATAACTAAAACTGTCAAGATGAATGACGAGTCAACATCTTAGCAGCAATGAATAATTTACAAAGAGAAATTGTAGATTTGAATTAAAAATGCAAAGCAAACTACAAAGAAAATTGAAAAATTTAATAGATAAAAGTGAGCATTTGTTACAAGTGAACTTTAGCAAACAAGAAAAGACAAACAAGATAACCAAACAGAAGAATAAAGATGAAGGTAACATGATAAAGCACATACAGACAGTAGAAACTAACTCACGAGCATTTTTGATGAATGGGAAGGTGGGTACAGTGGATCAAAGTTTTAGAAAACTATAAAGTCAAAATTAAAGATAGCTATGATGATGTAGCAAAGAAAGTGGAGGAGTGGGTACATAAATCTTTAAAAAAAAATAAATAATATTGCTAACATAAGTGATGTACAGAAATTAGGAAGAGAATAACAAATATGCACAGTTGGCTGGCTAATTAGGTTGAAAGCCTGTTGACAGTACAGGGGGTCATTAAGGTTGCGTGTCACCTGTACACCACCAGTAAAGAATACGTTAATATGTAATATAGAGATTAGAGTAAATTAAGTGGATATATACCGAGATATACACAGTCCATGTATATATGCACTTTTGCTCTCGATGCATACACATGAAAAGTGATATTTTCAGAATATATACAAAGTTGTCAGGCAGTTTAAAAAAGGAACAGTAACAACTTTTGCCTAATGAAAGGGAAATTCCCGACATATTTGATAGAAATATAGTAAAGGAAGGTCTGAAGCTGAGAAAACACAATGAAAATTTCACTACTATATGCCCTTTCTTGTTACTATTTTTTTCTGTGTATTTTTGAATCTAAAATAATTTGTTGAAATTCGAAATCGCTCAGACATAAAAGCTATTCAAAGCAAGGGAGAACCAAAGTGATTTTCTACTTCTTGTTTTCATTATTTGTCATCCTTAATATGAGAGTTAATTCTTAAATACAGTTTGGGCACTTACACAATATTTTTACCTACATATTCCAGGTTATCAGCGTGAACTCAAGTATCGTCATGAGGATGGATCATTTAGTGCATTTGGAAAATCTGATAATTCTGGCTCAACCTGGCTAACAGCATTTGTTCTTAAATCATTTGCTCAAGCTCGTCAATTTATCCTGGTAAGTTAGATTCAATATATACAAAGAAAAAATGTAAAATAACCATAAGTACTTCACTTTGTTAATGCAGCAGCATGCTGTTGATACTGGTATTCAATTTATCCTAAAGACAAGTTTTTATTTATACATTGTATATTATTAAGATTATATGCATAATGACAAGTGAAGCTGCACATAAGATATATTTAGAGAAGTTTTTGGTTTTCATATTGTACATAAAACATATACTCAGTCATAAGTCAACCTCAGAGACAGTTCAAAGGGAAGTAGAAGCATTATCCACTTTTTGCAATTTTGTGTTTAAATTTTTGTCATGGCTATCAGCAAAGTATGCCTGTGTTTCACAAAGTTACATTAACCCTTTCAGGGTTTCCAACGTACGTGTATGGCTTATGCACCAGGGTTATTGACGTACTAGTAAGCCTAAATTCTAGCGCCTTCAAATCTAGCGAGAGAAAGCTGGTAGGCCTACATATGAAAGAATGGGTCTATGTGGTCAGTGTGCACAGTATAAAAAAAATCCTGCAGGACACAGTGCGTAATGAGAAAAAAAAACTTCGTCCGTGTTTTTGGTTTAAAATAGCGACGTTGCACTGTATTTTTGTAGGGTATTTATGGTTGTATTCTAGTTTTCCTGGTCTCATTTTATAGAATAGAAGACATATTATAGAAATTGACAGGATTTTGATTGGTTTCACAATGAAAAGTACTTTGAAATTGAGCTCAAAGTAACAGAAATGTTCGATTTTTGCCAAAGTTCAAAAGTAAACAAATCATGCCATGCGTCCAATACATGTCAACTGGTGAGTCTAATATATTTTCACAAGTGTGCTGATACTATTTATACTATTTCTACACTAATGCAGTAGACTGCATAACAGTGAATCTTCTATTTTTTGTGAGAATAAAAATTCAAAGTGGAAAGCAAAAGAAATGTAAGAGGGACATGACTAATAAACAGAGGAAATGTTATTTTAGTGCCAGGAATGTCTGTCTTGTTTATTCTGGAACCTATTTGGAAATTGGCATCTTTTGAAATTTTTGTGAAATTGGCAAAATTGCTAATTTCTGACCACTTTATTGGATAGTTGAAATCGGTAAATGGGTGGTTTCTTGTACTCATTCAATAGAAAATATGGAGTTCTAGAGAAATAGTTGTGATTTTTGTCGACTAGTACACTGGAATTGGCCTAAAATAGGGCTCAAAGTGGGTGAAATCGCTGATGCGTAAACATTGTCGAGATTGCTAACTTTGCGAGAGCATAATTCCGTAAGTTTTTTAGCAAATTTCATACTTTTGGTGTCATTATGATCGGGAAAAATTTCTCTGTCTTTTCATAAGAAAAAGTAATTTTTTTTTTTTCCGAAAAATTTTCGACCCTGAGAACAAGTTTAGGAGAGGGCCTCTCGACCCTGAAAGGGTTAATAAGTATAAAGGCAATAAAGAAAATATAAAAAATGACAATGATTTGGCTATAGATGCACGTTAACTAACACTGGAGATGTTCGCTATGGGTGAGTGGCAGTTTACCTGGAGTTTACCTGGAGAGAGTTCCAGGGGTCAACGCCCCCACGGCCCGATCTGTGACCAGGCCTCATGGTGGATCAGAGCCTGATCAACTACGCTGTTACTGCTGGCTGCATGCAATCCAACGTACGAGCCACAGCCCGGCTGGTCAGGTACCGACTTTAGGTGCTTGTCCAGTGCCTGCTTGCAGACAGCCAGGGGCCTATTGGTAATCCCCCTTATGTATGCTGGGAGGCAGTTGAATAGTCTCGGGCCCCTGACACTTATTGTATTGTCTCTTAATGTGCTAGTGACGCCCCTGCTTTTCATTAAGGGGATGTTGCATTGTCTGCCGAGTCTTTTGCTTTCTTTGTGAGTGATTTTCGTGTGCAAGTTCTGTACTAGTCCCTCTAGGATTTTCCAGGTGTATATAATCATGTATCTCTCCCGCCTACGTTCCAGGGAATACAGGTTCAGGAACTTCAAGCGCTCCCTGTAATTGAGGTGTTTTATCTCTGTTATGCATGCTGTGAAGGTTCTCTGTACATTTTCTAGGTCAGCAGTTTCACCTGCCTTGAAAGGTGTTGTTAGTGTGCAGCAATATTCCTGCCTAGATAGAATAAGCGACCTGAAGAGTGTCATCATGGCTTGACCCCCCTATTTTGAAGGGTTTCATTATCATCCTGTCTTTTTTCTAAGATCGTTTTGAAAATTTATGGCCCTTAAAGTTGGACCCCCCGACAAAATACTCCCGGGTCTTTGACATTGGTTTTTCCTCTTTTTTGTGGCCAGAATTTGTTTGTACTCTGATGAAGTTTTAATTTCCTATGTTTACCTTTCGGGTAGTAAAATTTTTTCCATTGTTGAATTCACATTGTTTTCTGCCCCATTGAAAGTTTTGGTTATGTCCCCCGGGATCCTTGCAGTGCTGCAGTGGAAGACAATGTCATGCAATTCGGGTGCATCTGCAAAGGAAACATGGCTGTGTCAGATATGAGGATAAAACAAGAGGGATGAGAAACTGTCCCTTTGAAACAGAGCTTTTCACCTATTTTCCTCAGACTTTACTTGTTGATCTACTATTTGTGTTCTGCTTGTGGGGGAAATTATAGATCCACTACAATTTTTCCTTTTATTCCTTAGCAACTATTGGCGGCTTTACGCCCATGGCCCAATTTTTTAAAAGGCTTTTGCAAAGTCTGTATTAATTAATTTGCATCTTTTTGTTTTTCTGCCTTTAAACTTGTGTAGTGATCCATAGTTGGGACAGACGGGAAAAAACCTGCTAAAAAAACCTTTTTTTCCCGGGTTTTCGTAATTGATGGGTATCTAGTGGGTGGAAATTTGCTTCTTGGACCTTTCAAGATTTTTATGTAGGGGAGTTATGCTATCAGTCGTAGCTCTTTGTTATTCTTTCTCCCCCCCTTTGTGGGTGGAGCTAGTCGTTGTTTTTAAAAAAACTGTGGGGGCCCCCCTGTCCATGCTCCCCTCCATAGGATGGTAAAAGCACTTAAGGGGCTTCTTGAGTTTTGTGAACATGGAGTTCCCTGGTTGGCCTGGGGCAGGGCATGGCTGTAATTTTTCGCCCTTTTGAAAATCATTTGGCATCAGGAAAACATCAGATAAGCTTGTGTTTTTTCCAAATTCTGTGGCTCTCTCATAGGGACAATGTGGCAATTTGCAAGTTTATGGGAAAAGGGGGGGTAAAGTTACTAAAGCTGTAAAGGCTTTTTTTAGTAGGGGGCTAGGTTAGGGGTGTAAAAAGAGGGGAAAAAACTTCCCGGTAAAAGTAGGTCTTAGAAGGGATGTGTAATTTCACCTGGTTGTTTAATATATTTATAGATGGGGTTGTAAAAAAATAAATGCTAGGTGTTCGGGGAGGGGTTTGGATTAAATTTGGGGGAATCAAATTCAAAAAGGGGAAATTTACATAGTTACTTTTTGCTGTTTATACTGTGCTTATGGGAGATTCTAAAGAAAAAAATTTCAAAGGTTAGTGGATGAGTTTAGAAGTGGGTAAGGGAGGGAAAATTTAAAGGGAAAATAGAAAGGGGAAAGGGGAGGGGTATCAAATGATTTAGATAAAGAAAAATTGGATATCAATTGGGGGGGAGGAGTATGGAAAAAAGTGAAAGTTTTAGTACTTGGGAGTTGGTGTCGGGGGAGGTTTTTGAAGGATGAGGTTAATCTAGAATTGAGAGGGAAAAAAGGGGAGTGGTGGTTGGGGTATATGTGGGGGGGGTCAAAAAAAAGTTATCTATGGAGGGAAAGGGGGAAAATAAAAGTATAGATACCAACCTTTTATGGTGTGAAGCTTGGGTGGTAAATGCGCAGCGAGGAACGGTTGGAGGCAGTGGAGATGTCCTGTCTAAGGGCAATGTGTGGTGTAAATATTATGCAGAAAATTCAGAGTGTGGAAATTAGGAGAAGGTGTGGAGTTAATAAAAGTATTAGTCAGAGGGCAGAAGAGGGGTTGTTGAGGTGGTTTGGTCATTTAGAGAGAATGGATCAAAGTAGAATGACATGGAAAGCATACAAATCTATAGGGGAAGGAAAGAGGGGTAGGGGTCGTCCTCGAAAGGGTTGGAAAGAGGGGGTAAAGGGGGTTTTGGGGGGCGAGGGGCTTGGATTTCCCAGCAAGCGTGATGAGCGTGTTAGATAGGAGTGAATGGAGACGAATGATATTTGGGGACCTGACGATCTGTTGGAGTGTGAGCAGGGTAATATTTAGTGAAGGGATTCAGGGAAACCAGTTATTTTCATATAGTCGGACTTGAGTCCTGGAAATGGGAAGTACAATGCCTGCACTTTAAAGGAGGGGTTTTGGGGATATTGGCAGTTTGAAAGGATATGTTGTGTATTTTTATTCGTATATGCTTCTAACTGTTGTATTTGGGCACCTCTGCAAAAGCAGTGATAATGTGTGGTGTGGTGAAAGTGTTGAATGATGATGAAAGTTTTTTTTTTTGGGGTATTTTCTTTCTTTTTTTTGGGTCCCCCCTTGCCTCGGTGGGAGACGACCGACTTGTTGAATATATTTTATATATATATATATAATATATTATATATATATATATTATATATTGTATATTTATATACAGAGGCCCCGCTTTACGGCGTTTCGCTTTACGGCGTTCAACTAATACGGACATTTTAAATTTATGACCAAAACTCGCTTATACGGCTCCCCCACCTGTTTTCTAATTACAGTACGTGGCCCACGATTTTGTTTACATTTTCCCTGAGCACATCCCCTTATTATGTCTGGAAAACTTTCAAAATTTCAAGTGTTTTAATTTTTTTTAAATATTTTATATGTATTGTACTTGATAATTAAGTTGTGTACACCTGTACCTAAAAAAAACTTCCACTGTGCTGGCATGTAGGTACACATTAAAATCCACTAAGAGTCTCTCTACTTTGATGAAAAATTAATAATAATATAATAATTAAAATAAAAAATAATAATAATTAATAAATAGTAAAATAATAG